TCATGTTCGTTGTATAAAAAGAAACATTTAGGAATTTTAGGGAATGTTGCAAGTTCAGTATCGATAAAAGTCGTCGTTTCATGTTTATTCCCCGAATTTTTGAGCAGTTCTGAGAGTTATTCTCGAAGGAACACTCCTATAATTGAAACAAAATACTTTTAAATATGATAATTGACCTTGGTTTGTAAGTTATTAGCTCAATATACTTGTATGGCGCTATCTTCGATATATAATTTAGCATCGTTTTGTACTGGTATTTTTTCGGTTTCGTATTTCCCTATTAAATAACCTTTGTTCATCTATACCCACGAAAATTTAACATTGTGTTTTTATGTTAAAATTTTAACCAAATTGAAAATTTTGCACCACCACAACAACAAATAATTTGTTAAAAAATTATAAAAAAATATTCACTATTAATTAAAATTATTCAATAGACTAAAAATAGGCGCAGAGGAGTATTTAAACTCAAAGGTAGACTACTGTTATGCGCATACAAATACATAGATGTTGAAATATTTAAAAATAGAAAAGTACAAATGAAATGTAATGCAATTATTAGAATTGCAATTGCAGCTTCGTCGCTTCTGCATAGTTCACTACTATATTCAATTACTGCGGGGTAATTAACGCCTCCATAGCGCTTGTATTTCTAATTTGTTTGACTAGCAGCGTTGCATGTGAAATGCACAAATGTCAAAAGGTGGGAGTTGAATGGGGTTCAATTATACACAAATACATGTACAGTTACCATTACATTTACGCTATGCCTTGGAAATAATGCATATATTGGGTGTATGATGTGTTCTTGTGATGCAGAGACTAATTGTGTAAATTAAGTGCATATTTCAAATGCAATTACTGCCAAAAATTTTCAACTTAATTTATTTTTCAAAGTAATTAAATAATTACACCAATTAATTAAATTAATGAATGAAAATTTGCTGCATTTCTAAGATTAATATGATTAACACTAAAACTTTTGTGGTATAAAGTTAATGATGTTGTTAAACTCTATATAAAAGACTCGAGTTTACATTTTGTGTTTTTTAACAAACATCTATAATTTATTCAATTTTAGTATTCCAGGAACTCTGAAGTTTAAGTTAATATATTAAATGTTGACGTTTGGTGACCAGATTATTACTAGCTCTGCAGCAAAGTAGAGTTGTATTTTATAAACACCAAAGTAAGTTATGCTTAAATATATTTTTGGTGTGGTAAGCTCCGTGTTTGTGATTAGTGTTTCATGGTAAATCTCAAAAGGTATATTAAACTCGGGCTTAGAACTAGATAATCCTTTTCAAAATCGAAGTTGGTTGAAAAAGTGTTGAAAATATAAAGATGCAGTAACACTTAATAGCTTTTATAAGAAGAATTAAAGTAATTTGTTTGCATTGGGGTTATGAGTAGTGTTTAGTGGTAAACACCAAAAGGTACTTAAAAATCTAGTTTGGTCTTGGAATCCTTTTCGAAATACACTTTGTTCGAAAAAGCGTAAAATAGGGATAGGAAATAAAGTCATTAAAGCTTTCAACTGGGCTTGTCAGTTGGGTCTGGTAAAGTCTTAAACAGCTACGCATATACTGGAGCGGTATTAAGATCTAATAATAAAGCCTAATATCGATGTTATTAGGTAAAAAGTGATTGGAGAAGGTTGGTTATTCTTTATGGCGAAATTATATTATATAATATGAGATTGATATGAACTATATGATATGCTGAGAAATTGGCTGATGAGTTTGTCATTCGATGGGTGCTCGAGATTGTCTTCTTTACTAAAAAGCATTTTGTAATATCTATGTCCGTGCACTTCTCCTATCATGTGTTTGGTTACAAGTTTCTCTGTTCAAAGAACGAAAAATGGAAGAACTTTGAATTGCTGAATTACCAGGACCCGTAAAATCTGTTATTAGCTGCCGCTTTATCATCGGAAGATACGTAACTCATTTTGCGTAGTCGTAAACCCCAACATTACAAGCATGAAATATAATATTTAGCGTATTGTTTTCTTAACATAACTCAAAAATAGGTACATTGTATATCCAACAACCGGTCTCCTCAATACCACGGCATCCAACTCACATACAACAGTTAAGCCACTATTTTACTAAATCGAGGTAGATTGTAATTTGGCAGTCTCGGAGCATTTGACCAGGGAAAGTCTGTAATAAGTGACTCTACACGAATTTTTATTCTCTCTCTCTCTTACTAAGCAGTTCAACCAAATCTTTACAGGCATTCCTTAAATTCACCTTAAGAACAGTCTAACTATTTGTCAATTTGATTCAGAAGTCAATCATGTAATAGAACCTTCATTTCTTTTTATTTCTCATGAAGATACACAAAGTAGAACTAGTATTATAAAACATTTATGCAAATCGAACACCTGTATGCCGGTCTAGGTAATAGAATTACAATAACTACAAGCTCATTGCATGATCTTTCCGCTACTTTGCATATCTTTAAAGATGGTTTCACAACAAATTGTAGCCTGCGGACATGGTATTGCTGGTACTGCACGCGCATTAAGCTCAGTTCACGTAGGTACTACAAGTATTTACATAACCCACCCAGTGTGTTGGCGCCGCCGTACGCCATTGTCCTCATTCGATTGACTGGCGGATTCACCTCATAATCGTCAATGTCGCATCAACAAAATGCCGATGAAGGACATTGTGCCACATTTGTGTTGGCGTCGACGAGGACACGTAAGTTGGCGACAGACGTGGGTCTCCGAACGCCAGCCGCGTGATAATGCTCCAGCGCAGTTGAGGTTTGTAGGTTGGGGAGTAGGTGCTTTGGTAACTTAAATGGAATCACTGCCGTTGCAAATGTGCACAGGGTCGTTGTCCAACTTACTTGGTGTGATTAAGTGACTCAATGTTTGTTTTTATTTGTTTGGCTGTTGTTTGTTGTGTACAGTGGGATCTACCATATGTAGACGCCGGCACCGAAGAGACTTGCAATTCTGTAGAGATTAGTCGGCTCGGTATACACGTACAGTCTGTTTAATAAAAGGCAAATATATTTATTGCTTACAGTTGTGCGTTCAGAAAACAAATAAGAAAGTATAAACTTAAACAACGAAACGAATTTTAGGTGAAATTTCTTAGGATTGTGTAAAGAATAACTATGTTTCTTCTGGGATCACACTAGAGGTATGTCTATTACTCGATTCTTGGGACTAGCAAGAGTTTGCTTATTATTTATTAAATATGTAACGAGTACCACAGAACTTCATTGGCTTCGATTATCTCGAAATAATTTAAGAAATTCGGGTAGAAACAGTATCTAAGTCTAAGAACTCTGGAGTGATTTTCAAAGTAAAAATGATGTGCAAGAAGATAAATCGAATACATTTTTATTATAATTTTCGAATATTTTACACAATTTCAGAAACTTTTAGTTTAAGAATGATTCGGGTGAATCGCGGTCTACATGAAGTGTCTTTCTTTCAATACCGATTATCCTCATCGCTCAACAAATGAGTATATAAGAATTAATCTCGAAAAGGCTGTCTTTTTGGCACTCTGGATAAAACTTTTTTGACGAGCTCAAGGCGTTTTGTCAATATGCGGGTGTTTTTTTCATCTATACTTGGGAGGTCTAAGCATCAGAATGGATCTAGTTGTTCCAATTGGATTATTCGTGGTGCCACGTATATCAGTCTGTTCACATAATCTAATCAAACCTTTTACTCGGAAACTTGAAATTAAGTAAATCTGATTTTAGATCAATGCATTTATATTTTTCAACACGTCAGCATTTTTAAACTTGTTTAGGGAATGTCTTTTGTCGCTACATAAAGAAAAACAAAAACAAAAATATGAGAATCGAATCGCTTACGTGGCAGTAGGGCGTTCGTAACCGTTAGGGAACCGGATTTATAGCAAAAAAAATGAGGAATGTTTTATGAACAATGAGTCCGAGTCTCCGGTCAAAAGAATATATATTTATACATAACTCATCTGTTCTGAATCAGTTCCACAGCAGAATTTTCTTATTCAGAAATCCTGCCAGCTGTCGTATATACATATATACAGGTATGAAGTTCTGAATAAGAAAATTCTGCTGTGGAACTGATTCGCTACTTTGTGTGGTTAGTAAAGCGAACTTTTATAGGTCGCCTCGTAAATAATACAATTAAGCTAAATGGCCGGAAGGAAAGTGTGCGAGAATATTTTGTTTCATTAACTCAGCTGCAACATTTTGTGGCACACAGCATATACACTACATGTTCATATATGTTATGTAGATATTTGATGAGTAATGCGGCAGCAATTAACGGTCAATGCACGTTTTGGCTAGCCACTTGTTGCTCCATTGGCCAACTGCGACGGTTGTGTACTGCTTAATGACTGTGTTTAGTACTTAACGCTTGCTGTGTCGCGTCGCGCCATGCAGCCAGCACGCTTTTATAAATATATTTCACTTGTTGCTGTTGTTGTTAAATTACTTGACATTGTAGGCTTCCTTGCCAACGCCGCGAGTTTCTTTTGATCCTCTGCTGCTGTTCGACCGACCAACGGACTGAGCGCTGCTGCCAACCCTGCTGGCGCTAAGTGCACTGATGTCGGTAATGGTGAAATTTTATGTGATTTCAATCATAAAAATTATACGACGCATACTCAATTATGGCAAGTCTGCACTTAGCCGGAAAACATAGACACCCATGGCTATAGCACAATACTTTGTGTAACGGTTTATCGGTGTATCCATCCGCGCAGATGGCAGAAACTTACGGACATCGGAGTGATGGAAGCGTAATGAATTGGTGACTAAGGCTCGCACTTCATAAATTTATGTGCTCTTATAATGTAATAAGGTTATGTTCTTATGAAGGTATGAAATCTTCGTTAGAGTAATGAATATCTGATGCTTCTCGAGTAATTATGACTTTACTTTAATTTTAAAAAACACATTAAGGTGTATCTGATATATTTTACACATGCGAGCCACTCCTAATGCGTTTTTTGTTTGACTTCTCTTCCTTACAGAAGTCGAGCTCAAGGAGCGTCTAGTTGCCGCTGTTAAAAAGGAGGTCAAACAGCTGATGGAAGAGGCTGTCACCAAGAAATACATACACGAAGAGAGCAGTTCAGTAACACAGCTATGTGCCGCTGTCGAAGCTTGTTTGAGTCAAGGCTTGCGTCGACGTGCTTTGGGTTTATTTAAGACCTCCTCGACAACTGCTTTACTACATAAAATCGCCAAATCCTGTGAAGATGCCGAATGTATCAGCAAGAAAGTGTTGGAAATCGAAGCAGCCGATCCAAGTAAACGCTCATCGTCTAGTAGTGATAGTGTCAATCGTCCACCGATGTTGAAAAAGGGTAGCAGCACATCGGTTACGACGATGAGTTTAAGTGGTTCCAATATCACGATGGCTTCAATGAAGTAAGTATGGTTTATGAAATCTTAGAGTAATAAGAAATATCAAGGACTTTTGGAAGCCTAGTATCTAGTCAAACCAAATCTTTAAAGCTATGAATAAGACAAGTAGCTTTTGATAGATTTTTATCGAAGTTGGGGCTCCAGCTAAAACTATATCCATTATTACGTTCTCTATTAAACTGGCAATTGCGTACATATTCAGTTCCGATCCTACTATGAACTTAGCATACAAAAGTCTTCGAAGTTACCGAAGCGTATCTGTCAAATGGAGCGATATTTGTGAGACAAGCATAGTCGAACCGCTTTATGTAGTTATCCCAAATTCGATAAAAATGCTCTATACTTTATTTAGGTGTGATAATGTGGAGCTAGAGGGAGAGCTAGGCAGAAAAAGAAAAAGGCAAAGGGAGAAAGATAGTAGTTTAGCAAAGATTAAAAGCTACTTATATGCAGGTATATAACAAATGAGAAAGGATGTGTGATTGCTCTTACATACGTAAATAATTGGATATTCAGCCTCCTTGTTAGAACCTTGATTAATTTTAAATTTTATTATTCGGTTTTTATCTAGGTACCTATGGATCCGTTTGGCTTTGTTCGAAAAGAAGTTGTCCAAAATAATTGAATACTTAGTGGCAAATGCCAGTACTTACTATGATCGCGACTCACTTGTAGCAGACTCAGACTATGGCTCTATATTGGGTTCGCTTTTGGTTGGACCATGTGCGTTGGAATTTACAAGAGTCAAAACAGCCGATCATTACTGGACTGATCCGCACGCTGACGAACTGGTAAGTACTTGAAATAATAATGACTCTAAATATTTCTGATAATATTTGCTATTCCGCAGGTCAAACGCCACCGCATCAGTTCGGGACGTCGTTCTTCCTCAACTTGCTCAAGAGCACCAATATTAAATTTCAAACGTAGTCTCAATACCAGCACAGACGAATGCACCACCGGTGCTGGCTTCAAATCAATAGCTTCTACTACAGTGGCCAAAGATTACGTCGAGTCGTTGCATCAAAACTCCAGAGCTACATTGTTATATGGAAAGAATAATGTATATGTGGTGCCGGTAAATAAATACATTTCATTTATTGAAGAAAAGCTAATTTTAATTTGTAATTCTTTCAAAAACTTTAGAAAGACGTAAATGAGAAAATGCCCGGTTATTTGAGCCTACATCAGCATGTGCAGACGCTCATCATTAAGTGGACGCCGAATCAACTCATGAACGGATACAATGAGGAGGAGGAGGATGATAATGAGGAACTGGATAAGGAATTATACTGGGCCTATGCGCTCAATATTAATGTAGATGAGATTGTGTACGTGCATTGCCATCAGAATCGTGGTGAAGATAGTGGCGGCATTATAGTGTTGGTTGGGCAGGATGGTGTGCAACGTCCGCCGATACATTTTCCCGAAGGCGGACATATGCAACAGTTCCTAAGTTGCTTGGAGACCGGCTTACTGCCGCATGGTCAGTTAGATCCTCCGCTTTGGTCACAACGTGGCATCGGCAAGATATTTCCATGGCCGAAGAGTGTACGCAGGCGTATTTTACCCTCAGTCATGGAATCGTTTGATGAGACTCCAATTGATTATGTCTTTCGTATTGTGAGCAAAAGCAAACATGAGGAATTTGGTAAGAAAGTTTGTGGTCTAATTATAAGGCTGAAAATAATTCTTGATATACAATAATTTTTAATATTTTCAGCTGCTACTCATTCTATACTGGATTTTGTGCGCAGTACTCCACGTCGTGCGCAGCTAAGCAGTTGTTCGACTACGGGATCGAGTGATTGTTCTAGCAAGAGTCTCTCTATAGATCAGCATCCTTTGGAATCTCCATTGGTAAGTACATTTTTAGATTAATAAATGTTGGCGACGACGTCTTTTGCACTAAAAATACTTGACCATATTATTTAAGCTCTATATGTGGGAACCCTAACGGTCTTTGCAGCCGTCTCAGTTCCCTGTTAGACATTTTCAAGGCACCGACAATATTTCTGAGATGATAAATATTTTCTTTCATAACTTTCAAGTTTTCAGTGGCAGAATTCCTACTCTTGATAATTGCATGGTCTAATTAACTAATAAATTCGAGTCCTCTTTATCTTTTTCTGCAGGTCCAGACAAAACAAAACACGAGTATTGAGATGGTGTGTTCAACAATGCGAAGACAAATAATATCGAGAGCATTTTATGGTTGGTTGGCCTACTGCAGACATTTGTCAACTGTTCGCACTCATCTCTCAGGATTGGTAAATGGACGTATAACACCAGAATGTAAGTATAACATCGATTCGTACATTTTTTCTTTTAAAACATAATCGTACCTATGCGATTAGTAAAAGCCGACGAGGATGGACTAACAAAAGAACGCTGGGAAGCTTTAAATGTCAATGGTGTTGTTAAAAATGAAGTGGACGTCTACCGGCTTGTGTATTTTGGTGGAGTGTGTGCAGAGCTTCGGAAGGAAGTATGGCCGTATCTTCTTGGACACTACAGGTGAGTCTACAAAAAGAAGATACTAACTCGACAGTCTTTAAAGTATCAATATCAACAGTTTTGGTTCGACACCAGAGGAGCGACAGAAGCAAGATGAGACCTGCAAACACTACTACGAGACGACAATGAGCGAGTGGTTGGCTGTTGATGCGATCGTACAGCAAAGGGAAAAGGAGAAGACGGCACGTGCTGTAGCCAAACTCAGTTCGGGCAGCAATAGTGGAAATGATAAGACTGTGCGTGCCGCCTATATAGATGCGGGTGATTTAGATAATGAAGTTTTTGAAGATATATCTGATATTTCGGATCCTGGCGAGTTAGAATACGATGAAGAGCAACAACGGCAAGCAGAAGTCGAGGCAACAACAGGAAGCGGACAAAATTACCTAATGGTAAAACCCATACCGCGTGCTATGAAGACCAGCACAGACTCGGGAAATGTAGACGAAACAATGGAGGAAGAGGATCAAGATGAGGAAGATCTGGTTAATAAAGATGACTACAAGCCGCAAGAAAGAGATGCGTTGCCCAAGGAGCAGGTCACTGATGCGGGCGTCAATGAACCAATTTCAAGTAAGAGCAACAAGAGCGAGCAAATGTCGGTTGAAGAACCTGAAGAGAGCGCATTACCAGATCAGAGCGAAAAGACTTCACCATCTTCGTCTTCATATGAAACGGTTGGCGCTGGTTTTGGTTATACAGATTTAAATCTGCATACTTCAATATCGGCAAATTTGAATTCCACCGAGGAGCGAGATAAAAGCGTGCTGAGTCCCGAGTTTCTGAGCGCTGACGACTTGCCGGCACAACTTGGCGTTGCCGACGAAGATGAGCGCGAATTGACAGCAGTCGAAATGAATGTTGCTGGTCGACCTTCGGCTGTTATTGTAACGAACGCCTCGATTGATGTGGCAAATTGGCTGCCTGATGTTAAATCGGAATGTGAACAAATGCCACCTTTACTGGAGCAAGGATCTATGGAGGCGCACGCAGAAGTTGCTGCTGTGAGTAGTAGCACCATTATGGATGCATTACAAGAGCCAAAGTCGGCATGCGTTTCACCGGCGAGCTCAAATGGTGGCGTTTATAGTGTAAGTCGATTGGAGAACGTTAATGGAATATAGAGTATGTTAGATGAACATTTGGTGTATTGCGTTTTCTTTTAGATGAGCGCTAATATGACGTCATAAAAAATGTTCTCTCATATTTTCGTTAATCCTTTAATCCCTCATTCCATCTTTAATAATTTTAATAATTTCAGAGCGAATTGCTGGAACAATTCGGATTGAACCTACATCGCATCGAAAAAGATGTGCAGCGCTGCGATCGAAATTATTGGTATTTCGCCAATGAGAATTTGGACAAACTGAGGAATGTTATATCCACGTAAGCGCTTCTAGTTTAGGCTTAATTTTTCTTTGATCATTTGGTTTCTGTCTTTATGAATAGTTATGTGTGGGAACATTTGGACGTCGGCTATATGCAGGGCATGTGTGACTTGGTCGCACCTTTACTCGTAATTTTTGATGACGAGTCGTTGTGTTACAGTTGCTTCTGCAAGCTTATGGAGCGTATGATTGAGAACTTTCCGAATGGCGGGGCCATGGACATGCACTTTGCGAATATGCGGTGACTGACTTTATATCCTTATAAATTGCATACAATTATTGAACTCTCAATAAATATTTCAGTTCCCTCATACAAATTTTGGACTCGGAGATGTATGATCTGATGGATTCGAATGGCGATTATACACATTTCTATTTTTGTTATCGCTGGTTTTTGCTCGATTTCAAGCGTGAGTTGGTCTATGATGACGTGTTCGCGACTTGGGAAGTTATTTGGGCGGCCAAACATGTGGCCTCTAGTCATTTCGTGCTCTTCCTCGCTTTGGCGCTACTGGAAACTTATCGTGACATAATACTGTCGAACAGCATGGATTTTACAGATGTGATCAAGTTCTTTAATGGTAATTATTTTTTTTTAGTTTGGTGATTAATGGAATTTTAAGATTTTTAATATTTTTAGAAATGGCCGAGCGACATAATGCCCAAGCGGTGCTGCAATTGGCACGCAGTTTTGTCTTGCAGTTGCAAATGATAATCGAAAATAAATAAATTGCTTTATTGTTATTGTTAAGTGATGGAAATGAACGCATTGAGTTTAGTAAACTAACTGTGCTTGCATTCCACTTTGTAACCGCCAATTGACAGTGACTTCCAAAGTAAACTTACTAAAACAAAATGAAAAGTATTGATAAAGAAAAAATATGAAGAAATTATGTAATTAATATTTTAGTAAAAAATTATTTTAAAATTTAAATTATTATCGGAAAATGGTAGATGTACATATGTACCAAATATATTGTTTTAAATAATATGAAATGGTATTGAGAAATAACAATTATTACAAAAAAAACCTTAAAAGTATAGAAGAATTACACAAAAAAAAAACACATCATAATAAAATAAAAAAAGACAGAGGCAATATAATCCACGCAATAAATGCATCCCAATATGTCTCAAATACCGTGAGTGTAAAAAAAAAAATGTTGTCGGATTAATTTTTTAAAAGTATACGTTTTTTAAAAGTATACGTTTGAAAAAATATTTTTCTTGCACATTACTTTTAAAAAATAATTAAATTTATAAATTTTGCTGTTTTTGCTAATTACCAAATAAAGGAAATAATTTAATTAATTATTTTCTTACTGCTTCTTACTAAAGATTAGAAAATTTGAAACTTTCCTAACATAAAAAAAAATTAAATTGCCTTTCATTTTATTGCATTGTACAACTATAATAGTTAGAATTAATTAAAAAATTAAAAAAAAATTTGTTTGAATTTGAAAAATTTCTACTTTTTGCTAAGTGTCAAAGTGCTAATGGTCAAGTAATTTTCTAGCTAAAGTAATTTAATTAGTTGTTTTACTTCAAAATAAAATTTCTATTGATTTGAGACATATTAAGAAAAATACTAGTTTTGTTTAATACTTAAAAGCAGCAAAATAATATAATTAAAAAACAAGTAATAACCACTAATCACTCCATTGAACTCATAAGCATAATGAAAACTTCTACTGTATATCTAGTGACTAGTTAATAGAGCAGAAGAGAAGCATCTGAAATGCTGAGTATGTATACTGAATATCAATTAGAAAGTGAACCACTAACAATCAAAGTAGAATTTAACATATTTGATGAATTTTATTGAAGTAGAAAGTTTAGAACCTTAAAAACTAAAAAAAAAAATAAGGAAGAATGAACAAATTTATTACAAAAAATTACAAAATTATGTGCGCACTTCCGAAATATTTATATATACCTAGTTACAGAGTAAAAGTTAATAAAAAAACAGAAAGAAATCTTCAAAAGAAAAAGATAATAATATTTGTTTTATGAAATATTTTGTGTCATTTGAGGCTGTCTTATAAAGAAAAGCTCGAAATTGCCATAAAATAAAGAAAAAGAATAAATCCATGTATTTCTTACAAAACAAAATAACTATTGCCACAGATAGGAGGCAGCTCACATGTATGCATTTCATTTAAATTTTAAGTTTAGAATAATAAATAAATATTTATTTCACAGTTTATTTTACAGCCCAATTAGATAACTGCTAAGCTGTAAAACGAACTCATTATATATATCAATATATTGAAATCGGGTTATATTTGAGCTGGTAATTTCCATATCACAAAACTGATGAATGTATACATCTACCGATATATATGTATGTATCTTCTATGTATCACTTTACACATTTTTTAAGCAAAACTTATATATAAATGTAGTTAGACTCTTTAATATAATTTAAATTTTAAATGGAAACACAGAACTTATCATTACAGGTATCGAAAAACAAATCTATTTAAAATTGTGCACTAGTTTTGCACGGAAGTTTTATACCGTTATAATTACACGCATTTGTATATGTAAACGTTCAGTATATTTAAAGAGCACTTCAACTCGGAAAAACCATATGATTAGTTTGGAAATATAAAAAATGACATTTATATGACATTTCTCACTCATTCACAATAGAGGATTTTTTTTTTTACTTTGCAACACTAAAATTCATGTGACGTATTTTTAAAGTTAACATATATGTAACTCTCTTTAATGTGATTCTTTCTAATTTGAAGGTTAAGGAGTGCTCAATCTCATCGAGTAACTTTGTATGAGAGTATGGGTGCCAGGCCACAGCGGAATCGCAGGTAACTGTAGAGCTGGAAAGAAATGTCGCCCTAGCCCCGTTATCAGTAGAATAGGAATGGGTCGGTGCTTAACTCTCCTCGTGTGTTCTACTACTGGATAGGTGGGCGTGGCGGAAGCTTGGTCAGCGCTGGCTTACCGTCGGCTCTTATGCTGTCGCAAGATCCTTTTGACCCAAGATCGATCGTATAAGATCCCGTGAGCTCTGTAAGGTTGAGATACTTACCGGTTGGCAACTGCAGAAGTTGTAAGGAAGAACTTGGTAACAATATCCTAACACTTCTTTCTTGATTGGTTCTCGTTTGCCAGTTCAAGGTTTAAACATATGGGATTTCATACTCAGATATTTCACCGAACTTGTGAGAATATCTCTTAAACGCCTAAGCAAAAATTTGTATTGCCCACAAGGCGCTTTGCAGACTTATAAGATCCGATATAGCAGTTCTATTTTTATAGCTTCACAAAGTACTGCTGAGTTCAAGTGTGATCCCTGGATCAGCCATCGAACCAAAACTAACCGAAATATGAAATACTACGATAGACTGAGTGGTTAAAATGAATTGAGTTTGATTTTCTTTATATGTGGACCTATTATTTTATAAAATTATATTTATATAGAAATGCTATCTATTATTTCTTTTATATAAAATTTTGTTTATAATTTATTTATAATTAAAAACTTTTTTTTATTTTGCGAATATGATTTTTCATTGAGTGCAAAATTTGAGAGGATTGTAAGAAATTTGGTTGAATGTCAATTTAATATCCAATCCCACATAATAAAATATATAACTATTTGCACTACAAATGCAATATATCTATACTCACATACACACACAAACACCGATTTAAATGAGAGTTGCCAAATATATTTAATGTCTCATGTACCTACATACATACACACTAACTAATTTTAAGCTAACTTTTAGAAACCGATCTATGTATTTATATGTATGTACAATCGTATTATTTACCTTTTATATGAATAACTGTTTTTATATGTACATATACATATATATAATATATATGTACTTCAAGTGGTGTTATTTGCCCAATATATATATTTATATGATGGCGCGTCTGTAATGAAATCAAGTGTACCGCTAAAATGTTTGCAAATTTGTACCTAAATTGTAAATTTTTTTTGAAAATTAAGTAAATTTAACACACGAAACATTTTACGAATACCAAGAGTGGAGCGGCAAAAGCACATACAAATACATTCATACTATTGTCAAAAGAATTTGACTTCAAGCAGCTCAATTTAGTCAAGTAACTGTATTTAAATACAGATGTGCATACCATTATCACATAAGTGTTGTATTGAAGTTATATGTTGAAATTTAACTTAACTACAATTGAAATAAATAAGAATGTATTTTTTCTCTCTTACATAATGTGGTTTATTTATTATGCTGAAAGAGTTTTATTGCGAGGTTAGGTCAATCTAGTGTTAAAAAAAATCGAAAAGTTTTTTTATGTTTGAAGTTTGCTTTAGGTTCTTAAAATTTTTTAATCTGTGTATACAATCTAGTAGACAAACATTTTTCCTATTCGATACGCTGAAGTGTCGAAAAATTTAGGCCTGTTTGCTCAGAGTTCCTAGAATCACCACCGCCCATCGATATTTTCTTGAAAAAGGTGATATTAAAGACTGTCCAAGGAGCCGCCATGTGTAAAATAAAAAAGGTCTATATACAGCTTTTCGATTGTCGTTCTATGTAAAGTAGGCATGGTTATAGTCTGATTTATTTTTTCAATTGTGAAAAGAAGGCGCGATGATAAGGTTATGATCAAAATTATATAGGAAAGAGAGAGAGAGAGAGAGATATAAAGTCGTCCAATTGTTGAACACATGAGAGTCTTCTGTATCATCCCTGTTTTAAATTTTTATTCGAGAACACTTTTTTCATGTCGATGTCAGACGAGCCTTCGGAATACAATTCGTCTGGTCATTCTGGCGATACATAACTAACATAACTCCATAGCTCTCTCGATTGCTTTTAAGTGCTACAAATTTTATACTGTTATACCAAACAAAACTATTATATTTTCTGTAAATGTAAAACTGATACGAGTAAGAATAGCTCTCTGCATTTAAATATTTCAAATTAAATATAAATTACAAGTGACCCAGCCCCTCTTAAACGACACGTAAACATTAATATTTATGAATGACTTAAATAGGATTGTGTAATTGTTATGAAAATTAATATTTATTAATGTTCTTTTATGTAATTGTGTAGTGTCAAACTTAAGGAAAACTGACCTTCAATTCAAAATTTGTCTAAAAAATGTTGTCTTACTCTTTCACAGACTGTTTAGCTTTTATTAATCGTATTCTTGAAAACTAATCGTCATTTACTTATTTAAAAGTTTACAGTCACACACAGTTTGTATTTAATGTAATTCATTTAAGTTTTCATTATTTATGCGTGCGCCATTTGCATAAGCTATTTCAATTGCATTATTTTAGGGCCGACATAAACATCTAATGAAGCAAATACATACATGAAATATATATACTTATGTAAATCAACTGCATTTCCCGGTTGTTGTTTGCTGTCACTGATTTTGCGTTTGAGTTCCAAGCTCAGTTTAATGCAACTAATGCTTTAAGTGTGTTCGGAAGTTCACTCGTTCTTGGTGTTTCAAATTTCGTAAATATTCCAGGGATATTGCATGGAATTGTAAACAAATAGAAAAGTACAATGTTCATGCTTCTGCGACTGTTGTGGGAAAATTATCGAGAGCTCGATGAGAAATATAGAGGTGAGAAAAGTGGAAACACTTGATTCTAACGGATAAAAGGGTTAAGCTGGATTAGAGCCTTAAAAAGCCTAACTTTAATAATTTGTTCTCGGAGTGAAGAAACAGGAATCGGATTTTATTCCTTTAAGCTTTATTAAATATATATATCGGTACGAAATGTCGGCTGCTGTTATAACTCTTGAAATCGCTTTTTTTCAAGAAAGTCTCGACGGGCGACGGTTATTCTAGGAACTTACTAGGAAACAGTGAATTGTAATTACAAGGTTGCAATAAAAACAAAAGATCATACGTGGTTTACTGTCAAGTTTAAAAATTTGAATTGAATATGTGCAATAGTTTTCGTGGTCCATCGTCTTCCGATTCGAAATTGCGTTTTGTGCTTTTGTGTGAAAATCACCAGACTTTTGAAAAAATATTATTATTAATTTATCTTGTGGTGATCTAAAAACACATATATATATAGGTGTTTAAAACTTCAAAACCAATTTCACTTTGCTATATAACACTATTATTTAATTTGAAAAACTGCAATACTCTTCGATTACGAACGAATAACCATATCATCCAAAGCTTTATTCCCGGTGTATCGATCCAAAAAAATCTACCAGAGTTCATTCTACGCCGCACTTAAACCACGTGATAGTGTTTTTTTTTTTGAGAATTGGCTGGCTTTGGTTCGACGATCCATTATATCTTACCGACGATCCATTATATTGTTTCCGATCCCATCTATTGTGGAACTTCGATTCAGCTTACGACTAATATCAATACATTGAAGCTATATATTTTATATAATATTAGAGTGTAATGATCGGAAATACTCGGACAAGCCTTAAGCAAAGGTGTGTCAGATCTATTATATGCATATACTTACTTAAGTGAGGTAGTGTAGTTTATTAATATACCCGAAGACTTGAGAAGAATGTGCTTCGAATTCGAATTCTTCATTTACCGTGAAAGCGAACCGTTCTCGCCGGTCCGCATTTGATTGGAGTGAGACTTTGCTCGCTTCAATAAGCTTTAAAGCTATATCTATCAATAACACACAGGTTCTACCAACAAGAACGACGTGGGGTGTTCTGTGTTTTTTGTTGTGTAGATACTTTTATGTCATTTATGATTTGAATAAAATGTCGGCCAAATGGCCACGACAGCTCCGTTTTCATATCTCCATCCGTTTACGCCAATTTTCGACGACCCGGTGCAGCATTTCGGTTGGAATCTCGGCTATAGTGCGCTTAATGTTGTCTTCGAGCTGCTCGAGCGTTGCTGTTTGATTGGCATAAGCCTTTGATTTAACATACCCCCAGAGAAAATAATTTAGAGGCGTTAAATCGCATGATCGTGGCAGCCAATTGAATGGGCCATGTCTCGAAATTACGGACGACAATTTTGTTTGTTGACAAAGCCATTAAGCCAGAAACGGGCTTCATCTGAGAAAATTATTTTTCGATTAATATGAATTTTTTGGAGAGCGTGAATTTGCGTAATAATCTTGGACAATTTCCAAGCGTTGTACTAAAGTGAAACGTGATATGATGAAGACTTACAAAACACACTGACTGATTTGATTTGACACAAATTCCTGAACAAACATCCCTATTGGTAGATGCTATATGATTAAATAAAGATTCATATTATAATCTTTTTATCTGCACTTAACCCTTAGGGAGGGTATAGGATTTTACATTTTTTTTTTAATTTATTTTTGTCTTAAACGAATGCATATCTCAAAAATGTTGTGTCGAAATCGATCATAGCAACATTGACGAAGTTATGGCTATTTTTATACCTGTCACATGAATGTTTACATTGCCATACATTTTAATCTTTCTCCATGAAAATTTAACAGAATATTGTTTAAATGTCATAATATAATGTATCATTTGTTAAAAAAAAAAAAATATTTTAACTGTTTCATAAAAAAAGTCATCAAAATGGGCCTTGTTTTACACGAATCCCCTTTACTTCCTTTTTAAATATTCCTACAGATGAACGTTCGGAAAACTATTTTCTCTTCAGCCCGCTGCTATTTCTTTCTATTGCAATCGCTTACTATGCTTTCGTCAAGCATATTGGTCCGAAAATAATGGAAAAACGCAATGCATTCGACTTGAAGTACGTCTTATTGGCATACAACGCTGCGCAGGTGCTCGCCAATGGCAACCTGTTTATTTCGGTAAGCGTACAAAAGCTTTAAAAAAAAATGTTATTTAATTTATTTTAATGCATTTCTTGTAGGTGATTTACGCTATCTGGCTACATAGACCCTACGACCGCTTGTCTTGCATGATGCCCGTTATCCAACGCACCGAAATCGGTATGGTGGAGCTTAAATTCGCGTACACCTATTATTTGCTAAAGATAGCCGATTTCGCCGACACTGTATTCTTTGTGCTACGCAAACGCTACAACCAAGTAAGCTTTCTGCATGTCTATCATCACATCTTAATGGCGGGTGGAATTTTTATATTTGCGCGTTATCTGCCCGGTGGTCATGGCGCATCACTAGTCACTGTCAATTCAGCGGTGCATGCCATTATGTACTTCTATTATTTCATATCGGCGCTGCGGCCAGAGTTGAAACAATCGGTGTGGTGGAAAAAACACATTACTCAAGCGCAAATTGCGCAGTTTTTGATATTGCTACTGCATTTCATCCATGGTCTCCTTGATATGGAGTGTAAATATCCAAAATGGGCTCTGGGCTTCGGCTCCATTCAAGCGGTTATTATGCTGATGCTCTTCTCGGATTTCTATTATAAAGCTTACTTGCGCCCGAATAAGAAAAAATTAGTATCCCAAACGAATGCTGAGCGAGTTTCTGAGCATAAGGAAGGAGACTTTAGTGCAGAGCGTTTGGCGATGGCGGAAAGTGAAAAAATTACAAATTAATGGTTTTTAAATAAATCTGTTATCTTTAAATTGGTGTCTTGTTTATTGGTTCAAGAATACTTATCTCCAGTTTTATTATATGTCGAAGTTATATATTTCAGAGCTGTTGGGCTTTTAAAGTCTAACATACAATAGAATGGAATAATTTCTAAGCATTAAATATTCTTTGGAATGGAGAAAAAGGCTTAATAATTATATGATATATCATTCTATAGATATTGGTTATCTTGAGTTATAGTTCAGTGTAGGCTTAGTGTCGTTTAGTTATAAGTAATAGAGACTGTTATCATTTATATCCGGGTCTAAACCGTGGTTATTTTAAAAGATATGCATTAAGAAAGTAATGCTTGATTTGGGTAATATTAATAATGCAGTGTCTTTCAAACTGACAACCCCTGGCGGGATGAGTATAGTTTTTTAAGCATTACATATTTTGTAATATGAACTATTGTCCTCTTAGATTTATGTGTTTTTCCGATGTTCATAATTGAAGACTGCAAAGCTTAGAGCTTTTTGAAGAACAGTATAGACAGTTATTACAAACAATATGGGTTTCGTATAAAACTTGAAATGGTTGATTTTCGTAGTTTGATAATTTTATAACGCTTTTAATTTATGAAGAGCTTTACACTGGCTATACAAAGCTTCCGTTCTTGGTGCTAACCTTAAAATTTTAAATACTACAAAAAGCTTTTATCGTAGTCTTTATATATAACATATATATGCTTTTAATATACTTAAAAGTTCAAAAAGCACAAGAAGACGAGAAATGGGTTTTTCAAACGAAAACTCATTTTAGGGTGATTTTGGGTACAAATAAATATATGTACATAAATATATATATATGAAATAAATACTTTATATGAAATTGTGGTACATGGTATATCCATATACCTATCTTCAGTTAAGTCATGTTTTTTTCGGTAGTTTAAGGGTTGGTCGCTGTTATTTTTTATGGCAGAGAACAGTTTGAAGATTATTGCACTGCATACCACTTGCACTCATGACGTTTTAGTAATTTTTTATGGTGTTTATGAAAATACAAAAACGCTTTCCTTTATTATCGCTATAACTCAAACATAACCTCAACCATAACTTAAACCATTATTTTCCACTCAGTCACTTTCTGGACATGTTTCTGATTATTTGTTGCTTCAACATTGTTCAAAATTTTTTTATAAATATGAGTGCTATAATTATTATCAAGGATTGATGCAGCTAGTTGTATAACAGAAGTTGCAGGATTCCACAGATTTTGGCAAGCTTTTTACGTCCCATAAAATTTTAATTCAGCTTCTTATAAACTCATATATACAAACCTATTTGGCTTTTATCTAACTGCATTTAACAGTTATCAGTCACCTACCACATCACTGTGTACCCAAGGCGTGGTGAAAAGCTCTCCGGTGTGTTGCCACAGCAACGCATTTCATTCATACCGACCGCTTTGTTATTTTTGGTCTTCGCTGAAAGCCGGTTTACCACGTAGAAAACAGTCAACCAAAGCAAAAAACAAAAAAAAAACGAAAAATAACAACTGCAGGATGCTGCTTTCACCGCGCCTTGTGAGGCTTAAGCCAGCGACCACACACATGCAGTGTTTAGTCGACGTTGACGCGTTCACGCGAATAGGTGCATTAAAACGAAAAACGCTCCGCTGAGAAAGTGATTTATTTACAATTCAGTTTGGCTGTAAAAGCATTGTGCCATCACAGCTATCTATTGAATCATTGCTTTGAGTATGTGACAGATTGTGCATGATTTCAATTGATAAGTGTTAAACAGGTTGTGGCCATTAATGGAACAGGGCTATAAGTGACATGTCCACATTAGAAGAAAATAATCAGATTTGAGAAAAAAATTAATCAGAAAAAATTTATTAGTAATAGGTATTTGAAAATAGTGGTTTTTTATTATAAAGAGAATTTAAAAACGTTGGCTTTGCTAATTAAAAAATATCAAATTCATAAAAAATATACTTGTCTATTGTGTGTTAAAAAAATATGTAATAAATTCAATAAATGAAACGATGTAATTATTGCTTACTGTAATCGCATTGACTTCTGTCTATTTGTCGCTATTATTTCGTCACGTGTTCTTAATTAGTATGAAACTGTGCGCTGCTTGTTTTTAAATAACCGTTATATTTTTAGCTCGTTGTGTCACGGCAGTTTCTGAATATTAATTTATATTTTATGGCTATAAAGCGCTTAGTTACTCTTTTTAAAAGCCTTAAATGCCGATACTTACTGAGTTTCAATGAAAATATTCGAAGTGGTTACTTATACGCAGTGTACAACAAGAGTAAATGTTTGACTATTCATATAAGCAGAATATAAATAGATAAGTAAAAATCTTGAACAATTTAAAAGGAATATGAATATAAATGAATCAAAAATTCTATCAAAAAAATTAAAATTAATTAAAAAATTTTAGAAAAAGAATTATTTCTAAGAACTTTTGTTTCACATAACTATTTAATGCTGTATGCAAATTGTTTGAAATATAAAAAATCTAAATACAATGTGTCATAACGACAAAAGGCACTACAAAATTTATGTGAGAAAAAATTTAAAAATGTTTTTGAATAGATTAAAAAAAAAATTGTTGTTGAAGAAATAAAAATAAAAATTTTGAAAAATTATACAGAACCTTTTTAGGAAATTGTATTGCGAAAAAAATTTTATAAAAAGTAATAACAAATAATACAAAAAGTAATGAATAATAAAAAGGAAAAAGGAAAAGTAGAATAAAGCAAATACTCAAAATGCTACCGTGTTACAGGAAGGGTTAAAAACATAATTCCAAAAATTCAAAAATTTAATTTATATACAAAATTGCCGAACACAACTAAAATTCTTCAAAACCCACTGCAAAAATTAATTAATATGATATTTAGCTGTTCAAAAATATAAAAAATGCAACAAAAGTTAAAAATAAAAAAATAAACTTTGGTGAAAAAATAAATTACTAGAATATAGATTAAAAGAAATATTTAAATAATAACTGCAATTATTTGCAGAAAAAATTATATTTAATAAATAATTGTTAAAAAAATTAAAAAAAAAATTATAAAAAAGTACAAGTAATTCAAAAAGCAATTTATAAATTCAGTGCACAACTATAAAAAATAATAACAACTAATAAATATTAAAATAAAAAGATATTTTGGAATTTAAATATCTATATTTATAAGCGAACATTATTGTAAATATATTGTAGAAACGTGTGTGTGAAAAAACTAAAAAATTAAATATTAATTGGAATAATGTCGACAATTAAAAAAATATTTTAATTTGCAAAAAATAACACGTGCAGAAATTTTATATTTTGACAAAACGCCTCTATTATGTATCTAAAAATTTATATCATGTTAAAATCAAATTTAAGCTCTTAACTCATCTTGGCTCTTCATAATGCTTTTTTGTTATGTTATGAAAATATTTTACTGAAAAAAGCAACAATGACTAAGAGAAATACTGTTAAATTATGGCTGCTGAAAGAAATTTTATATGGACAAAGTAGTACTCTGCCTGACGAGGAGACTTTGAAGTGATTTTGCATAAAGACAACTTGGCAAGAAATAAATAGATTGGCTGACAACGTGATTTAATGTTGATTTCAACATGATATTAAAGCAATAATAACAAATTTTAGAGCATAATTTAATATTTAAAATATAATTTATAAATTTTTAACAATAAAAAAGTATTAAAACAGATTTTATAATGTGATGAATGTTATAAATGTTAAAACATATGTTTAAAACTTTTGCAATAGCAGCTAAATATCAAGTAAAATACATAAATATATATATATATATTCAGTAAAAAGTACATACTAAATAAAATAAAAAATAAAAGCTTGCACAAAATAAAAAAATTACTTTTTTTTCAGCGTTTAAAACATAAAATTGTAAACTTCACTTGACAAAAAAAAAATATTTGGTGCAAAAATAAAATATTTAAAGTGATTAAAAATATAAAATATAATATTTGTGTTTCATTATAAACAAATTATTTGGTGAAAAAAACTATAAATTTAAAGAACAAGAATAAAGCCAATATATAAGATAATAAGAGAGAGAAAAGTATTTGTTGATAAAAAATATTAATAAATTTAAAAAGTATATAAATGTATGTATATTGGTTTATGTGTGTATATACCATACGTGTGTGCACATTTTAAAATCAAAGCCCCAACAACAAAAAAAAATGTATGGCATGTGTTGTACACCACCAACTACAAACCAGCTATAAAACAAAGTCTCTACAACAATAACAACTCAAACTCATCGCCCCCACCATGACAATTACTCCGAACGAATACAGCGATTTGCTTGCATACTTCAGCAATGATTCAGCCGCCAATAATATTCTCTCACTAGCGCTCACACAATTAAATGAAACCCACACATTGACAGTTGGTAATATTTCAAGCGCTGCGGCGGAATCGAATATGTACGCCACCACGAATGACAGTAGCGACATTAGCCTGCTCATCATGGTCACACAGCCGGCAATGTACGCGAATGCGTCTGCGAACGCAAGCGACTACGGCGACAACGATGCGAGTGCGGTGATGAATCGCAGTGCGATCGTGGTGCCGGCGGGGGGACGACGTATGCCGACCGAGATGCCGTTCTGGCTAATACTCTGCTATAGCATAATATTTCTCTGTGCCATAATTGGCAATTTGTTAGTGATATCGACGCTAATACAGAATCGTCGTATGCGCACTATTACTAATCTTTTTTTGCTGAATTTGGCAATATCCGATATATTGTTGGGGGTCTTCTGCATGCCGGTGACATTGGTTGGTACCCTGTTGCGTGATTTTATATTCGGCGAGTCCTTCTGCAAGCTCATACCATTTTTGCAGGGTAAGTACAAGCTTTTAGATATATTATTGTATATATATGTATGTGTGTAGTGCTAATGTAGACCCTCTATATTTATAGCCTGTAAGCACTTATATCCATATATGGTATATTGTATCCTTAGCCAACTTCGTTTGCTATTATTCGTTTTATTTGAAACAGGCACACCTACACACACACGTGTCAACACTGAGACACGTGCCTATGTATATTTGTGTGAGTATGAATGTTAAGGTCTATAAATTAAGTTGTCAATTGTTCGCAAATGTTATGGAAGACATCGTCGACATGCTGAATCAGCAGCAAACGCCTTATCGGTTATTCGTTAGGGTCAATGTCTATTTGAGCGTTAATCCTACAAACCAACCCTGACACCTATCTGCACACATACTATAATAGATGTGTATATATATTTATATAGGCATGTGTGTGTGATTTAGGACTTTATTTGTTTACTCAGTGACAAGTAGGTGACAACAGCCCTTATTTTTATAATTTCCTGTTGCCTATAAACAGATACATACATATATTTTTATTATAAATAACGGTTATATATGTGTGAAGTGTCGACGTGCGTTGCTGCAATGTAATCAGTGATTAAGCCTGCCATTTTTCTCTCCTCTTCTTGTTAAAAAAATGTTTTTTATGTTTATAAATATTATATGTTAGCCGAAGAAGTCTCTAATACATAACAATTAGTTCGCATGCATTTTTATGCGGGCGCGGTGAAGTTAATTATAATAAAACTGCATAAAGTACCTAAGTGATATTCTTTGCATTTACTTTTTTTTCCAAAAAAAAAATTCGAATTTATAATACGCATCATATAATAAATTAAACGAGCTGCCATGGCGATTAAAATATATTTTCTTGGCAAGTGCTAGAGAGTATGAGCGGTCGGCTATTGATAATAATCTCTTTATCATACTTTAATTTTGCGTTGGAGAGCAGAAAAAAAGAAGGATATGCGGCGAATCGTTCAAAAAAAGTTAGAAAACAAGCCAGCGTAATTCTTAATTGAGACAGTCGAAAAATTGAATCGCAGTGGATTTTTAATGTGAATATATACTATAGAAAAAGAAGCAGGTGGTGAAAATTGAGATTAGTTTTGAAACATTACATTAAAAGTTCAAAAAATTCTTTAAGAAGTCAGCTATTTTTAAAATATATCCATTATAAAAAAAAGTAGTTATATCATTGTCGCTTAAATTTTAGATTCAAATAACTACAGTTGAAGTTAATTTTTCAAACAATGAAGTTAAAAGGCTCCTAGCTCAACTCTAATTAGGAAATAAAATTACTCACAACCTTTGATCCTGGTAATTTTGGTCGTGGATATTTAAGATTTAAGAGCACAAGAAAGGTCTCAAAGGAGCTAAACATAGCGAACACTTGAATTAATCGGTTAAAATATTTTTAGTTATATAGTAATTAGGGTTCTGTATTTGTGTTCTAGAATCCCTTAAGTTCCGCACATCTACGACGAATGATTGGACGAACACGTCTATAATGTCAATACTTAATTTTTTATTAACTACTTGGCTCTTCAGATTGAGCTGCCGACTCACTACTATTAAAAATAATGGTTTAAAGAAGAAGTTGGAAATAATTCATCTTGATTTTCGCTTAACTTTTCTCGGTTTCTAGTTTTTGAACTGTCATTTGATAATTTTTTTTTTATATTTCGACATCACAGTCGCCAGTAAAGATACGGATTATGAACATAGGGTCAACAGTTAAGTTGTCAAGCTCCCCTTTTGTTGTTATAAGTCACGTTTCATTCCTGAAACGAGATGTTAAAACCTTTGCTATTTTTCTAATATCAAGACAACACTTTTTGGTTATAATCCTCTCAAAGACTTCAGAAATGCGGACACATGTCACATAAATCAATTTTTTATTACTTCCCTATTTTTAGATTTTTCAAAATGCTGTGATGTCATCGCCTTTTCAAAAATATGATATTAGCTGTCATTGAATCGTCATTTCCTTGAACAGGGTATATAAAGTTTGCCATGAAGTTTATAATACCTAGTACCTCAGTTATCGAGATGTCGATCTGATCTTTTGCACATTTTTCTATTCAAGAAGTTGCTTATTTTGCGGAACTGCTGATATCGGTCTACTACAGCATATACATGTACAGTAGTTGCCATATAAAAATTGCGAAGGATATTAAAGATTCGGTGCAGCTGAACTAAATGTTTTTTCTTTTTTTAACTAATACGCGTTCTCATAAAGTTTTGTTTGTTTATATTTTGGAATGCTCAGCGATTTCAAACTATTGAGTCAGCGCGACCAAATATATGCAATTTTCACCATCTCCTTTTCAGTGCTGCCAATCTGTTTGAACAGCTATTATGAAATTTTTGATACACTACTCTCTAAAGTTTGTCGAATCGAATACGACTATTACTATTATTTAATAATGCATTTGTATTTTCCCTATTTCTTGATTCTCTCGTTTGTTAAATTTCTGGCTTCATACGGAAACTTATTGCATATCAGCGCTTTTACTCATTACTAGTTCTATTTCTACTTATTTATTTCATGGAAGAATGCACGAAATCTCTTCTATTCACGCTGTCTCAATAAAATTAAACTAATTTTTGATACTAAATGCATTTTACGACTTCTATTCAATGCTATCCTGTACTCTTTAAAGCACAAATCTCTGTCGTTTTCGTTCGTCTCTGAGTGATTGATCCATTAATTAGACGAATGGAGCACGATTGAGTAGTTTCGCCTTTTATGGCAGTTTTCTTCGAACTTTTGCTTAACTTACCTTACGCTGTTAATTAAATGCTATAAATGCTATTGCTCAGAGAGCACACGTTTTTATCAGTTAGAAACAGATGTAAGCGTGCTGAAGGCTGCAGACTGCAGTTAGAAGCGCGTGCTAACGACCCGGCTGAAATATATATACACGTATACTTTACATATACCATACACATGGGCGAATATATTGCACGTGCAAAGGTAATAAAGTTCGCGTGTTAAGAAATTTTTCACTTGATTTCAAAAGCAGTCGGTATTAATGTCCTGTCGGGCGAGCGGCAAAGAAAATGGATGAGTATTCGTATGTGTAGTCGACGTGCCACAGCTGGTGTTGGTGTCGTCTTACTAAAATGAAAAGTGTATATACCTATTTAAAAACATCCATGCGTTAAGGGGTAGAATTAAATGAATGCACATATCGCCGTCTGGCAAAGAAAGCGATCAATTAATAAGCTTATAAAAGACACGCAAGCGCTTGCAGCAATTAACCTCCGATGTGTACAAGTGTATTCTAAAGTGCGCGCCATTATATTTTGCAATTAATCTGAGCGTGTTGCGTGCTCCTTTGTTTACGCGGTCAATTTCAAGTCATCCTTGGTAGAAAGTGAAACTTTCTTCAATGCATGAAATTTAAGTTGCTATTTTCCACTGGGCACTAATAAAGTTTCGTTTCCGAGGCTTGTACTTAAATGTAATACATAGTTTGTGGTACATATAACGGTACTCTGTCTCAAAGAGATGAGGCTTAAGGTATAAAGAAAGCGTAAAGTGAATAGAGTAGTGTCTCTTGTGTACCGACTAATTACACTTTCACATATACTTTAGGTATGAAGAGCGTCGAAGTAGAGTTCGCAAAAGAAACGTTAGCTTGGTGCTGTTCTCCATCAAATATGATAGAAATAGAGATAACGACAGTTTTCTCTCTTTACTTTTTTGAAGCACTTTTGACAGTAAAATATATAACTCATGAAGTCATAATTAAAAAGAGAGGAAAGTTTGGTTTTCCACTAAGGTAATTACTTGGCTATTTTGAAGTATTTACTACAAGAGGATTGTCGCAACTCTTTGTGAAAATATTTCAGCCTTATTGTAACTATATTATTGGAAAAATTTGCTATACCGCTCATATATCGATCCCTCTCACATTTATTATTCCTGCGACCAAAAAACCGCATCTGAAATTAATTAAAAGGAGTCTAATTCATAGGAAACAAAAATGCGAAACCTATAAAATTTGTATGATATAGCAGATGAAAAAGATATGTACTTTTTGTTTGTGTTTGCTATATACATTTCTTTGTATAATGTGTGTTTTTTCTTTTCTACTCGTATTGCACAAAATAATCCTAAATTTTCATTTCACTAATGAGCTGCTACACACAACTTCCCCTCCTTCTTTACGTGAGAAGTGAGACTGTCGCTTTTTGCAATTTTCCAGTTAGTTTGCAAAGGTACAATATTTTCAAGTGTATTTTCCCCGAAATGTTCTTCGCGCTGCAGTTCAATTGCTTTACGCTCATCTCAACGCAAAGAAAATAAAGATTTGTTAAACTTCTTTCTTACTCAACTACGCATTATCTCATTTTCTTATGCTCGCACAATTGCCTTTGGCTTAGTAAAGCGTAATGCGTGCTCATAAATTAAGGAGCTAAGTCGTTGCCATGAAAAATTAGCTCGCATTTTTTGGCACTTGAAACATGAAGTTTGCTTATTTCGAGTTGCATTGTTATATGGTTGGCAAAGGAGTGAAAATAAAAGATTTGGTGTTAATTAATTTTTGTTATTGTTTGCGAAAAGTATTACCGTTTCAATATTTCAAGTCTATAGTTGAGGTCGTTTTGTGTTCGGTCATCCTCTACAAATATTGATGACCTCTTAAGGCGGTAGCGTTTTTTCGCAATCGAACATATAACACTTAACAGAGAGTGTGCAATCTAGGTTGCACAACTCCTTCAGATATAATAATTTCGTTAATCAGATATAATAATCGACAAAAAAATGCTCAACTTAATTTTCTTGGAGGTATATAACAACTCAGCTCCCGTATATGCTCGCTTTTATTTGTAGTTGGTGTTTTGAGAGGTTTTTCGAGAGAACCTCAAAATTTTTTTCGTTTTTATTGTAATTGTAGTTTTAGTGAGTTTTCATTTGACGCTGGTTTACGATAAACATATTTCTTACTTTTCTGGATTGCATTAATAGCTAAAAGTAATAACGATGATTTT